ATGTTAAACATACTTTAGATTATGGTTTGTGTTATAAATCAGATGATAATTTATTTTTGAGTGTCTACAGCGATTCGGATTATGCCGGCGACATTCATACACGAAGATCTACTTCGGGACATTTATTTGTTAACTGAATTAACTAATGAAAAGGGATTGTATAAACCTATTTTGTATATAGATAATCAAAGTACTATTCGTTTGATTAGGAATGCAGTTTTTCACAAGGATCAAAACATATTGATGTTCGTTATCATTTCATTCGGGAGAAGTTTGAAGAAGGTGTATTTGAACTGCAGTACAAAGAAACAGAAAACCAACTAGCTGACATCTTCACGAAGCCATTAGCCAAGGACAGACTTGAAAAGTTACGGTCAATCATAGGCGTGAAGAGGATCACAGAAGATTAATATAGTGTTAAGAAAATATTAATTAAGGGGGTGTGTTGGAATAATAATTAATATTCTATATATCAAGAAGTATTTCACAATATATAAATATGTTGTTTATCTGTATAATAAAAATACGTAGTTGTTAACCAGGAAATGTTATAGAAAAACAAAGTTGTTTTTGTAAGCACACGTGTATGTGTAGACGCGTGCAACCTTGTGGGTTAATATAAATAGCATTTGATCTAAGGGCTCGGGGCTCAGTATTTCTATTTAGTTTATACATATTACTAGTTAAATGTTTTTGTGAATATCGAAAACAACTGGCTTTTAAATAGTAAAATAAAACGGTTTTAACTTATATCTACTATACACTGTATTAATTATCCAAGACAACTAATAGCTGTGTTTTGTACTCGTATAAAATATGTAGTTTTGTATTTTGAACGTTAGGTTATATTAAAAACATTTTTGTTATCCGTATTTGAATTATTTTTGTATGAACTAAGTATTATAACATTTATAAAAATGATCGAAGACGAGAGCTTCGCATGCACGAGCGTTGTACCTAAGACGGGCAACCAATGTGACAAGTAATTTCAAAAAATTATATTAGGAATTACTTACACCATACAAATACATTCCAAGAGTCGTAGGAAAACCTCAATTATTAACATAAGTTATATTTTAATCGTTTGAAAATCAAACAGCATGGCAGTAGTACAATTGAAAGTCGATCAAGTCGATAAAGATTATTATTTCAAATCTACGATAGAAATAGAAAAAATTCAAGTCTTAGCAGTCATGGAGGAAGAAGATGTGGACCCGATTTCTTATAGGTAGGCACATTTTTTCGTCTTAAGTGTGATAACGAGATATCACTTAAAGTTTTGTTTTTAGGAGTTAATTTTTTTAAATATTTATGTGTTTTATAAGTACATTAATATCAAGATAATGAGCTTGTTTTTTTTTAAATGTAACACTTTTCTTTCTTAGAAAGACTTTTTAAGTTAATAATACCGTCATATCACTTTTTTACTTTTTTCGTCTAGTGTTGGAGAACAAAGCGTCGATAAAATTAAAATTGAAGCTGAAGAAGAGAATGGTTTTGATTGGTCTACTGGGTAAATTTATTTGTATAATCTATATTATTTTTTGGTACATTCATCAATACTAATCTAGCAAAATTTAGAATATTAAAACATTTAATTCAATAATCACCTACATTTCTATATACATAGTGCCATTCTAAATTTGAACTAAAATGTGATAAAACTTAATTAAATTAAGTACTGTTAATCAATGTTTTTTTTTTTTTATCTGGGTGGCATAATATGAATACACTACCTATCATCGTGGAATAGTGTATTCAAGTTAGGTTCCAGTCAAAAAATATTACTTTTGTTATATTTCGTAATTCAAAGGGTACAATAATATTGTTAACATATTTAAACAATTCAATACGAAAATAATGTTGTTTTAGCTCTACAACCAATACAGTAAAATACGACCGAACTTGCGTTGGAGAAGAGCCATCTACACTAACGAATGAAGAGTTGAATGAGATGCCTTTTCAGTGCGAAGTATGCCTAAGAACATTTGCTCTACTTTGTAATCTTAAAACGCACGAAAGGACACACACTGGAGAGAGGCCTTTTCAGTGCGAAGATTGCTTAAATACCTTTTCAGAATCTGGAAATCTTGAAAAGCACAAAAGGATCCACACTGGCGAGAAGCCATTTCAGTGTGAAATGTGCCTAAAAACATTTGCTCTTCGTTGTAATCTTAAAAGGCACAAAAGGACTCACACTGGAGAGAGGCCTTTTCAGTGCGAAATATGCTTGAAAACATTTTCACACTCTGGTAATCTAACAGAACACAAAAGGATTCACACTGGTGAAAAGCCATTTCAGTGCGAGGTATGCTTGGTGTCCTTTTCACAATCTGGACATCTTGAAAAGCACAAAAGGACACACACTGGAGATAGGCCTTTTCAATGCGAAGACTGCGTGAAAACCTTTTCAGAATCTAATGGTCTTATACGACACAAAAGGACCCACACTGGCGAGAAGCCTTTTCAGTGTGAAATGTGCCTAAGGACATTTGCTCGTCATAGTATTCTTAAAAGCCACAAACGTACACACACTGGTGAAAGGCCTTATCAGTGCGACGTATGCTTGAAAACATTTTCACACTCTGGTAATCTTATAAGACACAAACGGATTCACACTGGCGAGAAGCCATTTCAGTGCGAGATATGCTTTGTGTTCTTTTCACAATCTGATAATCTTAAAAAGCACAAAAGGACACACTGTCGAGTAGCCATTTAGAGTTAAAGCGTCTAAATAAAATATGAATTTGTATTATAGAATAATGTACAGTAAAATTTTACTTTATTGGTCAGAAATCTATCCTGTAAGATACTTAATTAGACCATCAGTTTATAAAATTCATCCTTTCTCCTATAAAACCGCGACAAACACTTAAAAAGTCGACATATTTTTTAACGTAAATTTACGGTTACCTTAACTTTTTTAAAAATAGTCGTATTAATTCCAAATTTGTGTAGAATATTTTTTAAACCTAGTACTACCGATAAACATTTACAACCTCTAAACAATATCGTCCCCGATAAAAATCACCCGGTATAATGATCATTTGTTCAATTACATTTACTTTGGCTTTAGATCTAATGAAGAACACAAATGTGGAATGGGGAGAGGTTTGAGATTTTTGCTTGATAAAGTAAATGTTCTAATTTTTATTGAATTGTTTATCTATTTATTCACTAATTAGTTCTCTTCGAAGTATCTATGCCTATCCGTGTTCATCATGGTTAGGCACTAAAAACATAGTGGTATTAATGCACCTCCCCCACTCTAACCCTAATCAAAATATTAGCATAATCTTCAATAAAGGTGGTTTTGAGCTATTAATCATATTTTAAAATAGGTATGAACAAGTAAACGAAATTACAATTAAAATAAAAAACCATGGGTAGATGATAAGATTCTAAAAGATATTGGAGAAAGTAGGTACAAAAATTCCAAAGATAATCAGGAAATAAGAAAATATAAAGAAAACTTAAAAACAAAAGAAGCAAGGGAGAAATGACTGGAAGATAAATTTCAGGATGTAGATCTATTAATAAAAGGAAACAAAATGGACCAAGCGTTCAACACAATAAAGAAAGTTGTCAGTGGACAAACAAAAACTGACATCAAAATAAGAGACACAAATGGAAATCTACTTATGGTCATCGAAGACATTGCTAGAAGATGGAAACCATATAGGTGCAACATAGATGCTATATAGATATATAATAAATGAAACGAATAAAGAACCTTGAGTCAAATGATACACTCAGCTAAAATCCTCGTAAAAATTATAGATAACCGAATAGAGCATAAAATTGAAAGGCAGTTGAGTAATGAAGTAATCAATTTGGATTTAGAAGAAACAATGGAACTGGATAAGCTATCTTGGACTCTGAAGAACATTAATCAAAAAGCAGGTAGAATTTAACAAAGATATATTTTTATTTATTGACTTAGAAAAGCATTTGACACAGTTCGTTGGAAAGAACATTTTGAAACGCTAGAAGAAAAATTTGAAAAACAATCAGCTGTAAAACGAGTGTCAGACAAGTCCGCAACTGCCAAAATTAAAAACGCTGTATAACAAGGGTGTCCACTGTCAGCAATATTATTCAATATGTATTATGTATAGCAAAGAAGCTAGCTGGTAATAGAAATGAGTGGAGAAACTGCAAAACTAACCTTAGGGTTGATCACACTATAAAAAAATATATATACATACCTATTTTAATTACTTATAGTATATTATTAAGAATATAGTGTATAAATAAAATATTGTTAAGTATTTGTGTTCATCATTTTGATCATTTGAGAGCCAAACGTGAATACAAAATTATTTTGCGGCAAAAAGGGGACTTGTTAAAAACTTCATCATAGTGTCAACAAGTAGATGTTCGTTTTAATTTAAAAAACAAAAATCAACTGCCAATACACATTATTATTGAATAAAAAACACATTGTTTTCTATTTTGTTGTAATTTCAAATTGCTCCTATTTAAGTGGCAATACCTATTGTTTCTTTCAGAGATCAAGATTAAGATTTGAGTATTGTGAAAATCACAAAAAGGGAAGAAATCTCTCTTCAAGGAATAAACCTTAAGAAGAAATTTAAAAAAAAATCTACAAATGTTAAAAATTGTTATCAGCTTTGAATATTTTGAAGAAAAATCGTTTGTCGAGCAACGCGTAACTCATTCTTTGCAGAAAACTCCTCAATCAAATTTTGTTTAAAAAAATTAAGGCTAAAGTCGTTTCTCAATGTAAAATATTAAGCTTGAAAAAATGTACATATTATATTATCTTGAATTATTTTGAATGTGTGATACGAATAGAAACTTTTTAGTAAAAGTTACATTGTATTTTCTGTTTTTTTATTTTAATATGTTGAAAAATTTATTACAATAAAAACTGAAGAGAGTAATTATAATGAAAAAATTATCAATTAATTATAATAACCCCTTCTTAGCTTCTTTACAATAAGCAAAGTGACTAACGACAATTTACTATACAATAATTAAATAGTTTACAAGTTTTATTGGATTCTATAAAACACAACTGATTTTGAATAATTATTCTACGTAGGACAACTGAACACACTCTTTATAATAATGTATAAACCAGTTTACAATACAATAATTAAATAGTTTACACGTTTTCATTGGATTCTATAAAACAAAATTTGATTTTTAATGAGAATTCTACGTAGGACAACTAAACACACTCTTTTCGTTGAAGGTATCAAAGGTATAAACAAATATAAGAAGAAATATTTTTGGATTTTTGTAAAAATGTCGTTTTCAAATCTACGATTCTTTGACCGGGTTCATGATGGCGTCCAAACCTTTCATCTCCTCTGAAAGATGAAACGTTTCAATTAAAAAATGTACACACACAGTAAGAAATAGTAATTTTTTATTAATTATTTACCTTCAGCAAACTTTGCCTTTTCTATTGCTAGTTTTGCTTCTCTTTCTGCCTTTTTCTTATGACGTTCCTCTCTGGTTTTGTCTTCGCTTCTTTGCAAGAAACTGTGTCTAGTGATTCCGTAACCAATACCCAATATCAGCATGCTGTAACGGCCAAACTAAACAATACAACGATTAAATTAATTTCCATAATTCAAATTTTTAACTGCCTAGTTTAATAATAGTTCATATAAGCCAATAGTAAAAGCATAAAAGTATAATACTATAATAGTAATTAACAGGGTTTCGTTAATTAATTTTCTTAATAAAGGATTTTTTTAATTATTCATTACTTATTTTCCTAGTTAGAATATAATAAAACAAATTTGCAGGACAGTGTACTTAAATAATTGAAATAAAACTTTTAAGCTGACCACATTTTATGTGATAAAATGTATGCTAATTTTATCTACATGTAACAGTAAACCACTCTTCTTCTCCAATTGAAATTATTTATAACTATAGACAAACTCAGTGTAGTTTGTAATGACAAAATATGGATAATGTAATAATAATGATTGTTCTTGTTAACTCTTTGTGGAACTGATCATATTTTATGTTGGTTTTATCTGCACAAACTCTTAATCAACGCTATTTCCCCTTCTAAAAATGTAAATTGCTCATCAACGAGTTTATTTATATTAATAAAAATACTTTTGCAATTAGCTATATTGAACAATTAAAAACCGTGTATTGTAAATATATTATACAATATGTATCATATACACTGACATACACAATGCATATCTATTTATTCACACATCTATCTATGTTATTTAAAATGTTATCAATTTCTCGGAGAAAATAATTTAAAAACGTTATTCGTTATAATATTCTCGGGGAAAACAAAATTATAACGTTATTCCTATTGTTCCAGACACAATAATAAAAACAAAACGTCATAGCAAATACCTTCTCAGCTCACATCAAAGATAAAATAAAATAAACTGATGATTTTTATCATAACGCGGTCGAGTCATTGGCACTTTGTAAGCGGCAAACTAGTTTGTAAATAATGTCGTTTCAATAGAAAATATTGGAATATAATTAAAAACCCTAAAACAATGACAACATTTTTTTGCTTTCAGATGTTTCTAATTTTTGAGTATAAATTTCAAGTGCAAACTTTTAGGTTTGTGTAGGTAAAGAGAAAACGTGCAGTAAGGACATGACTTGGGCTGTCGCTTAAAACCCTTAGTGGTCAACTATCCAGGATCAAGCAGCAACAGACTAAGCTTAACCTCAAGTGCCAAGTGACAACTGAGGTGACCACTTTGCCACACTATGCTACTAATTATTAGTTTTTAACTACTAAGCGTCATAGATTAAAAAATAAAGTCAATCACAAAGTTTGGTTAAAGGCATTTCGGGACCTAGAAATTCGGTAAAATACCAAATTGTTAGATCCGACCATTCCTTGTTTTTTGGGTACCTCGGTAGAGAATTATACTAAAAACAAAACTAAAGAGTAGTTTTGATAACAATAGTGATAATGCACAATTTACAAGCCAAAATATTATACTATTTAATACATTTAAAAAAGTTTAAGGTAAGCCCACAAATTAAAAATTTGGGTATTCAAAAATTATAAGCCAAACAAGATGAAGTAAGCACAGAAGTAGGAACAGATTATAGAAGAGATGAGGTAGTCAAAAGTCTAAGAAAATTATTCATACATCCCAAATATTGATAAGGCAATAGAATATCCTAAAAATATATTTTACCTACATTAAATAAATCAAGAAATCAATTCAGCGATTAAAACGTCATTCTAAGTCCTCACACAGTAATAAAAACATTCTCCGCTCCTTGATATAATTGAAACGTTATACTTTTGTCTACCTATTGAGCAGGCCAACGACCTTCATATGACATTTAAAGCGATTATTATTTATAAATAAAAAAGTTTTCAAATATAATAACTATACAAACTATTATGTTACAATATACTTTAAAATAAGTTTTAATAGACATTATACACAGGTATAAATATAAATATTTATACCTAGTATGTTTTTCTATTACTATATTATTTTAATTATTCGAGTTAATTTCATACAACAATTCCATTTGCATTTATATTACATAAAGCTATCGAATAAATTTAGAAATATAATATTATGATCGGGTGCATATTTATGCGAGTACCTATTAATTAAATTATAAGCTTATCATTATAAAAATGATTACGAACGGAAATTTTGAACGACAACAACAAAGCGTCGCAACATAGTTTAAACATTTGGCAAGTTTATTTCAACAACACATTATTATAAAGCACAAAATATAAACCCTGTCAACTGGTAAATGTAATATTATAAAACAACTAATCGGATGTATCGCAAGTCACAATACACCTATTTGTGTGAGTTTCAATAACAATAGAATTTATTAACTTACTCTGATTAAAGGCGAAACGTTAACCGGGGCTTTAAAATCTCTCACCATGATGAAGGTCTTATATTATTCTATAGTTGAAAACGTAATTGGAAAAGTTTAAAGAAACCAAATTATTATTATTATTGGAGATAGTAAAGACAAAACCGAATAAATTGCAGTATTCCAAATTGCAATCCTACCACAGAATTGATAAAAGGTTTTATCTAATCTGTGATATTGGCGCAAAATAAAATATGAAATTATTTATTGTGATAATAGTGTATGTGTATGCCTCACGGTCTTATATTATATGTAAATTAATTTTTATTCTACATTTTACTTAATTCATTCATAAACAATAATTAAAGTATTTTTCTTACATTCGTTTCTATGGGTGATTTGAGTTGTAGAGTGAGATTTGCCAACAGAGGTGTAATAGTAAGTACCTACCGAGTAACATAATGGTTCTATTTATTTATTTAAAAAAATCAATTAGAGTATTCTACAGTTTACGACTTGGGCATTAAATTTTTTTAATATTTAAATTATTTTCATACATTCGTTGTTGACTTAATAAGTTGTAGAGTTAGAAGTGCCATCGGTGATCGTAGGGACGATAGTTGATGAGAAGTTACGTAAAGGTTTCGACTGCGTTTTTTTTTTGTTGTTAATTGTGAGTTCTATTTACATTTAGTGTGAATAGTATATATTATTGATATGGCGTGTACTGTTAAAATTGTTTTATAGTTTTTCTTTTTACTATCTGTAATTTTTTTACCTGACCAATCTAATCATTTTCTCTGTTTTATATATTACAAAGAAGAATATAATAACAATCGATGAGATGGCAAAAGTCAAGTAACATTCAACATTTAACCAACTGAGACAAGTATTAGTTATGTACGCTGACACGGTACGGGTGTTAGTAGTAATATTTTCGTTGTAAATGTTACTACTAACGCCCGTATTGTATTGGCGAATAGAAATAAAATTTGTCTCGGTTGGCTAACTGAAATAAGTGTAATCAGTAACATAAGTATATATTCATATTTTTTTGGCCCCCTAGGGCACTTGCCCCCTTGGAACGGCCTTGGTTGTGGGTAAAGCAGCAGTGTGTTTGACGCTCACTGTCATCAGTTTGACACTCTCAGGAGGAAAATAGTATTTCATATTGTTTAGAAAAACAATAACTTCTATGTTTGTATTATTTAGTAAAGTTAGGTAGTGTAATATTTTATTTTTTAACGAATTTCGATTTTTTTTTTTTACTGATTATAACAACTAATTCAAATGCCAAAAATTGTAATCATGATCATCTATTACGGATTAAGTGTAGAACAGCTTCTAAGTTTTTGAATTTCTTGTGGAAAATTGTTTTGCTCTATTTTGCAAAAAAAAAAAGTCTGCTTCCACTCACGTTTTATTTAAATGTGATTAGACCCAGACTGTAATTATAAAATCGTTAATTTTTGTACTAATTTTTGAAAATATGCTTTGTCTGTTAGAGTAGGTACAAGTGATAAATTAACCAAAAACAAAAGTTAAAATAGACTTTTATAACTGAGACACCGAGACACTACTACAATGGCATACTACAATGGTAACGAAGCAATACGGTCTGGATAATTTTACTGGGAGTTAGATGAGGAGGAGGAGGCGAGGATATTCGTCGAGGGATGAAAGGGAATACTGTTTCCAAAGACTCGAGTAACCCACTAACTAATATATTATATCAAATCAATAATTTGTAAATAATATATATATATATATATATATATATATATATATATATATGTATAATTAGTGATCCGGAATTAAACAATTTGGAATTAGATAGCGAGATGGACAAAGACTGCTCTTGCCCACTAAAAAGACAGCGACCACATTCCGACTGAGGAGGACGATACCACGGGGCCATGATCAAAGTAGAAAAAAAAACAATGACGTAAAAGAGGAATTTTTTGAAGCCTTAGTGAAAAAAGCAGTACCGAGAATCATATTGCAAAATCATTCAAAAGTTTTCTGACAAACCATACCTATCAGGAAACGATTGACAGAGATGTATGTAAGTAATGTGATTTTTATAGTTAAATATTTGAATTACATTTTGTTATTAAATAACAGTATGCAGCCTTATGATGTTCGTCCTAAGACTTAAATAGTAGTTCTCATTTTTATACAGATACCACCAACTCTTTTGCGACATATTAGGCTGATAATTTTACGTTTGATATTTTTTTTTGAGTCCCAATTGAATAATATGTCTGAGGTGTTCAAATTGTGTGTGCATCTCGCAAGAGCGTTGCGTGAATAGGTTAAGGGAGCATGTAGGTTATCGATTTACATACACCATAGTGCAAATTAATAATTTGATAGCCGTTAAAATATTGTAAAGACACAAAGGAGCCTGTGGAATGAAAAAGTTTGAATACCACTGAAATGTATGTATTTACTTGATGAAAAACCCAACTATCCAAATACTTAAATTGTTAACTTTTGTAACTTAACATAAAGTAACATACTTTATGATACCAAGTCATGTCTGTTTAATTAATCTTAAGCCAAATTTTTAAGTTAATTATTATTATATACTAGTATTATTTTATATAATTTTTTTTTTTTTTTTTTAATAGTATCGTTGTAGTATACTCAGTCTATTCTACTTCAGTTCTAGCCACCTGCCACTGTAAGACCGCGAAAGAGACAAAAGGTAGCTTATTTAAAAACTTAAATAAAAAATATAATACTAATAGAACTATACGTATAAATAAAATAACAGCTATAAAAAAAAATGTGATTAGAGAGGGTATACTCGTTAGCCGACGACGACGTAGAGGGTAAGTACATCAACCTTGGTGCGAGTGAGAGTGTATAAAACTAAGTTGACCAATTACATTATCACCAGATCTAACGATGACTTCAGAGGAGAGCGGATCGTCAACCACGTCGAGTGTGGTGGATCTGACGGAACTAACTGATAGCGACGCGGAGAGCTGCGAATCACCATAATTACTCTAACGGATGAAGAGTCTGAAAGTTGTAGTACCGACGATGACGACATCGATAGTGATGATGACACCGATCGAAAGGGTTAATGAGGTAAATTAATCACAAAGTTAACTTTGTAATTTATATTGAAATGTACAGCAATGGTTTATATCAATAAAACAATTTTTTTTTAAAAGTTTTCACTAGAAACAAACACACTTTTCGAAATACTTCAAAGTGCAAGGATAGATTATATATACGCCCTAGTCTGATTGATAATGAGTCAATCCTGGATCGACTTAAGTCCATTACATACAAATTCGATCCAAACACCGAATCGCCTTATGCTTTATCACTACAAAATATTAAGATAGTATCTAAACTAGCTTTATATTATTCTAACGACCGATTTGTACTAAAAATAGTATTTTCTTTGGCGTATGATGAAACTTTAGATGTTTTTCATATAAAACCTCATCCTGTCTGTATTAACCATAATTGTGCTTTTATCAAGCCTAAATTCCATTACATAGTTATGACAACCTCGCGAAAATTATATTTAACTTTTGAAAGAATCGATCAAGTAGAATGTCAACTGACTAACGAATTTAGATTATGTCCAGAAATATATCCATTACATCTAACCTCAATAAAACCTTTATGCGAAGCCTTATTGTTTCAAGAGTTAGACACAGCTCCATAAAAACATAAAAACAGCTTTTTTGAATGGAAATGAAAATAAAAATGTTTTTTATTACAATTAAATCATTTATATTCTTATAATACATTATTAACTCATTTAATTAATTTCTTAACATTTTAATTATCACAACAATTGAGGTATGATGTGTCCTCAATATATTAACATAACATAATTATGTTTAAATATATACGTATGCATTGTTTTAACTAGACCACTTAACATGCATACAACTAAGTTAAACTTTTATTAGTTTAATTTATTTTTTTACACCCTAATGTAATGATAACGACGTTTTTACATTTTATTGTTTAATTATTAAACAAATTTTCAGATTGCAAAACAACCTTGTTTTAGTAGTAAATGTTTATATTCAATTACATTTTCTTCTTGTCATTACTATGTTTCTTTTTATTGACAACTAGTACTAACATTGAATAATAATTCACATATCTTCTTGGATTAATACATTTTTAAACCACCTTTTTCAATGACTTTTTCAATAAACTAACAAATAAACTTGTTTTATAGAAACTTCGTCATCGTCGATTCTGAGTTCATGAACTTGAACCCAGAAGAGACTCTCTTAGTCTCCATATCTAATTCTCTGGACCGATACGAGATATTCCATTTAACAGGACACCCAATCATCCATAAGAGGTGGTTTATTCGACCTCTTGATAAACTTATCGACTATCCTATATTCGTTGAAGAATGTCAACGAATATTCGGTAAAACCAAAGATTTGCTAATCACAAACTTTATCCCATTTTAGCCCAACTGTATGACAGCTTGTATATGTCACTTAATAACTTGAACGTTAACTTTATACAGTAATCTTAAGCCAAATTTTTTAAGTTAATTATTATTATATACTAGTATATATTTTTTTTTTTTTTTTATAGTATCGCTGTACTTCAGTTCTAACTTCGTCACTGCCACTGTAAGTATTATATTGACTGTAGTTTTTTACTCACATTTTATGGCACATCCGAACGGCACATTTTGTTTAACAGACCACGAGAGAGCTCGATTATTTAAAAATTAAAAAAAAAAAAAAATACTAATAGAATTAGGCGAACAAAAAAAAAGCGATTATAAAAAAAAATATGGAGATATATAAAAAAACATGAACCAGATAATAAAATATATAGAATGTTTAAAACTATTATTAAAACTATTGAAGAAATATTTTTAAAAAAAATGATAAAAAAATATTAATTATTAGTTTTTTTTTTAATTTTAATGTATATTTAGAAGGTTTGGGTTTTTTTTATATAGTAAATGTTAAGACATATTACAATAAATAATTTAAGAGAAGTAATTATTAAGTACTTAAGTTTGTTGATTATTAAAACATACCTATATAAATTTGTAATAAACATTGTTTTTTTTTTTTTTTTGTGCTACCTATTTGTAACTTAATTGTAAACTTTCATATAAATATACAATCAAAAAAATGTTCTTCATAGTTTTCAAAATGTCACAAACCAAAACACCAAATTATTCCAAAAAGGTGTGTATAAATTGTCCTTTAAACGCGGACCATACAATTCTGGCAAAAAAAAATACATCAGCACCTTAGAAGGAAGCATGGTGTTGAGTGTGGGATATATGGGAGGTGGTTGTTGACGCGGTCTTCAGAATAAAAGAAGATTGGGAGGATGAGACAAGTTCCGGCATTAGTTAACCGTGTTAATGTTTATTTTCCTATGTTTTGGCTTGTATAATTGGTTTTTGTTTTTTTTTTTATTAAATATTAGCTGTTAATTTATAAAATAAAATGTGGATAATGCAGCACCTTGCTTTATAGTATAGATTGATTGTGTACCGGAATTAAATGTGTTTTCTTTTGTTAAACTATAAAATATCATTCAAATATATATATAAATATCTCTGTGTATTATGTAGGTACTAAATAAAGTACGGTGTATCATCCCTCCAGTCAACCTACAACTATTTGACAGTTTTTTGATACTATATCACATTTGTTTAATTTTGTTTCACAGTTGAAATGAGAAATATTACGAAACAGATGCGTCTCGATACAGTAGGAAATGGTTTGGAAAAAATAGAATCTTTTAGAAAGAGACGTTCAAAAACATATTTTTCAAAAAACTTGTTGAAGTTGTTAGACTTGACCACATTTTTTTAAATACGCCACATCTTTTTTATTATCAAAAGTCAAAGAAGAATGTCAAAACACTTAAATTAAATTAAATTTATACCTTAATTGTGTATAGGTACGACAATTTAATAAGCTTTGAAATAAGAGATATTGCCAGTCAACCTACACATTTTTTTTACCTCGTCTAAGTTAATTAAAGAAAAAATAATAATATGTTATTAGTATAATAATAAACTTGCGTCTTACAACACTCTTAAAATAAAATATTTCTTATTACTTCAAATTATCTTGCATTGAAACAAAAATCAATTCATCACAATATTATTTATAAATATTCAACAGAAATAATAATTGTTTTATGTAAAATAATGAATTAATTGCGTGGAGTAGGTACTATTATTTCACAAGTAACATGGTTATTTGTAATAAATTAGAAATACTGTTTTTTTGGAAATAACTTAAAAATAATAGATAAATGAAAAATGCACCTGCTTTTCAAAAGTAGGCATTTTATTCAAAGTAATAAAACAATAAATAGTTTTTTTGAAGAAAAAAAATGTTTATTTATGTAATAGTAAAATACTAAACAAATATTCAAATTTTTATCTTTTTTTTGGTATTTGTTAGATCATTATCAACTTTTAAAAGTTGAGTGAAAACTTATTTTCAAAGTTTAAAATTAATGACAGGAGGGTGGAGTACGGTTGAATACTTTGTGCAGATAAAAATAACTAGATAGTTATTAAAAACTGCAGTAATCGACCGGTCAATATTTTCAGCAAATTATTCTTGATTAAAAAAACTAGTAAAATATATACCCCACCATTTAAGTTTCGAAAATCGATAAAGCTCTAGAAAACGATACATAAAAAAATATGAAAATTTAAATTATTATTATCTAATATTGCAATGTAGCTTGAACAATAATGTTTTTAAAAAGAAAAACTTAAATTTAATCAGAAAACTGATTAAAGGGCGTCGAGGGGATTGCATGCGGTCTGTTTTTAGAAATTTTAGATGAAAAAGCCAGACAAAATGTCGACTACTTAAGATTTTAATTCTGCAAAGACATCCGAGTTCTTTGGCAACTTTGCTAGGTAATGCAGGTTTACAGATTACTATTATTTTTTATAAAAAAAGAATTGGGTTTTAATGTTGAACAAATTGTAAACTTAATTTATTTAATTAATTACAAGAAACTGAGATTTTCAAATGAAAATCGGCTTCCTACATGACATAGTAAAGTAGGTAGTCAAAGAATTCGAATATTATTACAGAATTGAATTTGGACCGTCCCGTGTAGTGGAAATTTTGCCTGGCTTTTTGGTCTAAAATTAACCAAAATGGCTAGAACAAATTATAAAACAAATTTTAGAACAAACTAAAAGTGGTACACTGAAGCTTATGCAAATGCAACCAGTAAATTAATTAACATAATCGAAATGTATTAAAACTTCATAAATTATATATATATTGCCTATACAAAACTCCTTAAAATCAGACCGCATGCGATGCCCTAAAAGTGAATCGACCGGTATATTACTACATAATATAAACTTAAAAAACCTCTAAAGTAACACACAAGTTAACTATAAAGCAAAAAAATTATTGTTTTATAATTTTTAAGTCGATGCCGAGTAAAACATAAAAATTATTATGTTTAGTACAACACAGATGAACGCACACAGCAAGGTATATCATTTTGCTGTGTTTTACTTGGCACCGACTTCAAACAATTAATAATTACATTATATAATAAACAATAATTTCTCAATTACATTGAAGGGAACGACAAATGAGAATTAAATTGTCGTATAAAATATTTTTTTTTTGCTTTTTAGTTGACTTTTAGTGTTTTTTTTTATGCGTTATTATTTTTTATTGTTACTACTATTATCATCGTCTTTCCATTGCATTACACTGCGTGTTTCGCCGTAAACGTCATACCTACAAAAAAAAAAAAAAAAAACAATACATATCTAACCACCGATTATCTTTAATATTCGTGTGTCCCACTCGCTCCCTCTATATGGTATAAACGGGTCGAGTGCACGATACCGGATTCTCCATCGGGTCTCCCACTCTTTACAATACACTTTACCTGTATTATTATACAGGTACGGTTTTTTTTTCACCGACGTTTACGACACGGTAGTATTATTCATTTTTTATTTGTTTTAACGATTACACGTTAAAACAAATGGCGACGATGGAAATAACCGAAGGGAAAAAACATCAATTGTGCTATTGCAAAAAATTCGGGCCGTTTGTCTACGGTTCAATAAATGTCGTTTCTTCAGGTTCTATCCGCTAAAATGTTCTTAAAGATTATCCCGAAATAATAAGGAAGATGCAAATAGTTTATAGTATTGATGTACAAGAGGCTGTATGCGCATTCGCAGTAAAACCCGTAGATATCCGCTAATTAAAAATAATTAACAATTTGATAAATATCCAACAAAAACAGTGAAAAAGGGCCAAGTGTCAGACCAATGTAGATATAACTACTTTGATTGTCTGACTTTTTTGGGAGGAAATCTGAACCTTTTTTCTTCTGAGTTATCTCCTTCCTATCACCCACGTAACTCCTAAGTGAGTACATTAATTGATAATGATGTTTTATGTTTCATTTAGAAACGAGCCAATTGTTAAGAAATACAAATAAAAGAGCAGTATTGCTCATGAAAGCACGAGTAAAGTGATGTTATGAACTAAAGAAATAGCAGAATTATAATTGTTTTAATTTTGTATTTGCTTATGAATTTTGAAATTAAAGTGTATTCTTTTATACCTTGTTTGCCTTCTTTTTAAATAATAGTGAAGTGGCTTTACCTGGTTGCTATATTTGGTCTAACAATTTAGTCAATGATACAAAAGCTCATTCGAAAGTAGATAAAATATTTAAATAAATTCTATATTTATTTGTTAAAATTTGTGTAAAATTCACAAATTTAACTTCTAAAACAAGGTGAACCAAATACTTTCTCGTTGAACTTTAGACGCAATTGAACATCGTTTTCGTCTAAGATACAGCTATGCCAATATATTGTATTTTTTTTATTTTTTTATTATTTATTATAAATTTAAACTATGCTAAGCGAGTAGGTACTCTAAATCAGATGTAGTAGAAATATCATCTTACAACGTAAAAAATATATTTTTATTCCCTGGTATCGTAGAAGGTCAGCAAAACTTTGGATCCACAATCATGATGACAATGATTGTCTTATTGACGGAAGAATGTCCTAGGTACCTTGGTATCAAACTCGACAGGAGTTTTAGACAACAAAATAAACATCAAAACTAGTTATCGACCAGTCAACATTTTCAACAAATCAGTCTTAATTTTAAAAAGTTAATTAAATATATTTGTTACCATTTAAGTTTTAATACTAGTTGATACTTGACCTCTGGAGAAAAGTAAAAAGATAAAAATTTTAATATTGTCTAACATTGTAAAACAACATAAACAAAAATGTCTCCACCAAGGAGAATTACAAAATTGCAATTATCTCAAGAGAAAAAATCAGTGTCTTATCTATATAAGAATTATTGTAAAAGGTCTCAAGGCCATTTTCTTTTTTCACTCTTCTGAGAGCTTTTTCAGGAAGTGAGGTCGAGGATAGTTACTCTATTAGGGGACTGAAATGAGAGATAAAAATAAAATGGAAATTGGTCTGGTGAGATAACTGGTTATGTGTAGGTATTTTTGCAGGTCTTTGTGTAAGTTTGTACAAAAATTAGTATAGTGATACCAAAAGGAAGAGGTTATTAGTCTCGGCTCGAGGACTGTACTATCAACTAGGTAAATCCGTTTCAAAAAGTCAATTAAATTCAAAAACGTTATTGTTTTAGTTTCAATAGTAGATAGCGCTCTGGTTAATACTAAAAAAAGATAAAATATTTTCGATAGGTACCTAACTGTATATTATTATTATAAAATAACGTTTATAAAAGTATGTTCAAAGTGAAAAACTACAAAATTATAAATATTTCGAAGATGAAAACAGTGTGAAATGGGTCACCCTGTACAATGTACTTGAATTAATTTAAATCAGTAGGTAAACGACGTGGGATTTGCATGGAGGCGGTGTTGTTTTCGTTATTGAAATCGAAACGTTCTATAAACGGTTATGTGTAAAAAAAAACCGCACGGAAACGTTGTAAAATATATTATTATTGATGTTAATATTGTATTATATTCCATAAAATAAAATAAAAAGAGGTTTCCGTATGTTATTTGGATACACGATTATACTTATATTGTTATTCTTTCAACGTTACATTTGCCCGCGACAATCATATTGTTGCCTAAACAGTGTGTAATTTTAGAAATGTAATAAGATAATTTCCTTCTTATAATTTTTAAAAATTACAAGACTTGGAACAAACAACCAGGCATGTCCGTTTTTATTAAAAATCGATATTTCGTGGAATATTATTCATAGAAATGAACACAGAATTCATTCCAAAGATAATACAAACGCATTTTTCTGCGACAATGAGACAAAGAATTTCATTTTGATAGTCTTAAACAATTAAAAAATTTTTCTAGTTTTGCAGTGGATACGATTATAGTTGATCGTTTCCCAAAATTATCGTTAGTAACCTGTAAATTTAATAAAGAACACAACTTTTAAGAAATTAATTTTTTGTGACAAAAAAATATATTAATTGTAGATTGTGACCAACTGGTTAAATATGGTTTTAAAAATCAATCAGCAATTGGTTATAGTTCGATTTAAATTATAATTACCCCTAATGGCCAATTTTTTTATGTAGTTTCAACTATCAGGATTTTGGAGAAAATAAGTAAGGAAGTATATATCTTAAAAAAAATTATGTTTATGACATCTGGTAGATAGGTAGCAATTTCTTCAATAACTATAGGATGCCAACTCAATGAAATAGATTGTTTCTAACAAAATACAATTATTTAATAAACATCATGATGAGCACTGAAGAGTTTTATGTCAAAATAAGTTTTTTTTTTGTTATTCTAGGTTAATAAAACAATTGCAAAACAAAATTTAATATACATATTTTCTCAGCTAAGAATATTCTAGTTAATATAAAAAAAAATATTATATTAAAAAAAACTGAACCTATATACAGGGGATTAAAGGAATGAAGGAAAAATACTAACGATTTAAAAAAAAACCATTATCTTCTCAGCTAAGTATTTAAATCCCAGTAAGTACCTGATACACACACAGTATAAAACCATTGTTAAGTGGATTGAAAGCTGTCAGTTTTTTATTACTTTTTAAACTGAAAAGCCTGAAAAATTACGATTACTTAGGTTGGTCCGATTTCAATTCTGTAAAGAGTTTTTTTATTAACAGCTTTACTATGTCAGAAATACATTTTTGATTTTTTGCATTCTTCGTGTAAACAAATTGTTTTTTAATATAAACAAATTTTTTTAATTTAATTTATTTAATTAAGGAAATTAAATTTAAAAAAATTAAAAATAAAAAATAACTGATTCGGAGATTAATATTTTTTTTTTTTAAACATTAAGTAATGCATTTTTCAGATATATGAAATACTTTGTTATAATAATTGATTGTATATGGAAATTATCTAATGTTTTTATTTAAACTTGACAACTTTTTTTATTGTTATAATATTACTTTTTTCAGATACTTACTTTTGACGGTTATTTATGTAGCATACAAGTTAGTAAAATGTATAAGTTATATTTAATCGGAATGGAAATTGAATGTACTGGCCTTAATAAACATCTTGTCGATATATCCAGCTGTGTTTCAACATATGGTACGTTGTCACAAATACAATACATCTATAATAAGTATTATGGCTTGTTGATTAATGTATTTGTTTGTAGAATTCGTGTAGTACGAGTCATTTGTAAAAAAAAATACTATTCAATTAGTGAGATATTTTTAAATCTACGTCTGTTCATATTTCATCGAATCGAACAAAATGACCGACCGTAACTCAAAAGACGAAGCGGATACTTTGTTTTACTTTTATTACGACTTGGCCAAGAAAATGGCTTTGAACGAGCCTAGTTTCGAAGGTGAAGCGTTTTGGATCAAGTTTTCGCTTTGATTTGTTTTCACAATGGTTTATCTATTTTTATTTTCAATTAAAAGACTCCTGTCCACATCAGATTTGGTAAAATCCACAAATACTTATTCCTTTTTTGAATTTTTGGCCTGAACTTAATAAAACTGAATTGACATTTTCATGGAACATGCTTCACTGTATTAACAATGACCTTAAATCTAAATTTTGTTTAATCTCAAATTCTCTAAAAGTTCTATTGGGATTTGTTATTTATTTTGTTGAATTCAGGGAATGACAATATCGTCAGAGTTATCGGCAAATTTAATTTGTGCATATCTCAGAACCGCATAATTCACATACTTCTTCTCTTTCGACTTCGTTTTAACTATTTCGCATCAACCAGTATTACTCATATCATACTCAATCGCATCCAACCTCCTCTTTTCCGGTCGTCCCTTTGTCCTGTTTCCTTCAAGTTTATTCCATTCCTATTGGTTTCGATTCCTCTCTCCTCACGACATGCTCAATCCATCTCAGTCTATTTTTTAAAAAAATTTTCGCTATAGTACCTCTTATGTTTTCGTTTCTTAACCTATCTTCTCTCATCACTCCACTTATCCACCTAAGCATTATCATTTTCACTACACTCATTCTCTGTTCTATTTTCTTGTATACCACCCAACACTACGAACCACGCAATATAGTCTGTCTCACCACACTCTTTTAGAACTTACCTTTAAGTCTCGTTAGAATTCTCTCCACTTTATCCAGCCACACTCTTAATCCTATGTTTGATATCCTCGTCAAGTCATTTAAAATGTACACAGTTTATTTCATGTGTGTTTCATATAAATGAAATTCGATTTCAGTTCTAAAAATATCGTCTAGTTGGCTTTCGGCGTTAGAAAAAGTTGGGAATAAAGATATTCGCAATAGTTACATAAAACTATTAGTGTTGGCTTTGCAACATCCAGAACCGATGTGCCCTTTCAAGGATCTACCGCCCGAGACAATCGATCCGTTGGAAGACGAGGTGACAATACTCACTCAACACATTTTATGCGTTAATGAAAGTCCGTGAGCGTTTTACGAACATAAGTTTTTAAAAAAAAAACCATTAGGTTTTTGAAATGGCGAGGAAATTCATGAAAAAAGAAGGTACGGCCACGTGTTCCAACGACTATAAAGACAGCGCCAACCCTACAATCGAAACAGCCGTGTCACATGATACGTGCACGTATGCCGCATCGCAAGTCATACCCAATGTGGGAACTCAATGTTACTTTGCGACATCGAATGAGAGCATTCACGAGTGGTCGATACCGCCTCAGTTGTCCATTCCTAAGGAACACATGCATGCGAGGTCGTTGGATTGGGAGAGAACAGCAGCGGGAATTCAATTAGAAGCTGTAATCGCCATGCCCGCGGAACCCGTGCCAGAAGCTACTACTAACGATGATCAGCTGTGAGTGGGAAATTTAAGTATTTAGAATCGGTTATTTGAGAAAATAATGAAATTGAAAGAGACGTGGCGAGTAGAATAAGGTGTGGTCGGATGCGCCGATAAGAGGCAAACGGTAGGATGTGTCAAAGAAAGGTGTCATTCAGAATGAGAGGTAGGAATGTATAAAACGATAGTGGGGTATGGAGGTGAGTGTCAGCCACTAAAATAAAGAACAATGAAAGAAATATGACTGAATTGAGAATGTCGAGTGACTAGGTTAGACAGAATAAGGCGTAAGATGAAGTTGAATAGTAGGAAAACGTTTCAGATTGAATGGGCGTTTAAGTATAAGTTAATAATGTACGGTATGTCACACCATTTTTTAAAGAAGGTAGATTCCATTTTTTACTTAACGGAGAGACATTTCATCATAAATACGTCTTATGATAAACGGATTTGTCTCTTATCAATAATCAGTCGGGGGATTTTTTTTCCCCGAGTAACCGCTAACCTGGGAGGGAACTGTTTACCACTACTTCCTCCCAGGCAGCATCGGAGGTTAGGTAATCAGTAATCCAGGAATTATCTATTTCCTCCTATCACCATTCCATTCCATATAGTGATATAGTGGAGCTGTTCTCCATATCGCCTGCATTCCAAGTTGGTTGCAATTTTCAGTTTAACCACAGTCATAAAAAAAATAATCGTAGGCTCGTATAAAAATTATGTTTTGACAACCTGCTTCCATAATTTACTTGTGATGAGTACAGTTAATACTTTCTTAACTCGTGGCGAAGAGTAACATTAAATAATAAGTCTAGTCTGCGTGTGGAGTGAATGAAGTGAGAATTTGAGAATATCTCTAAGGCTAAGAATAAGAATTAATACAAAATATAATATTCAATATGGAAATTACTTTTACTAATGAAAACTTGTAAGACTAAACAAATGAACTCGACAGATCCGAAACCGTAAAACCGGAATTATCGCCTTGTCGAGTAATGGACGTTGAACAACAAAACAGGAATGTCACGGAAAATTTCACTTGGGCCAATTCTAGCTTCTTGACAGGCGAAATAATACTTGGCGCAGAAATGTGTTCAGACCGAAATATCGAGGCTCAAATCAAGACACAGTCCGAGTTGGACGATGATGTAATGACTGCACACGATAAACTCTATCCCGGCGATTTTAAAGTACAGCTTGACTCGTCGTTCGTTAGTGAACTGAACAAAGCGAAACACACAGTGACAGAAGCGGGAGATATAAGTATGTGACTTTTTTCTTTCAAGCTATCTTATATTATATTTTTTCTCATCAAAACCTAACCAAAATGTATAACCTGGTTGTAATCTGACAAAAAGGCTTCTGGAACAGATTTTGATCTTACTGGAAAGTATCACGCAAATTTTGAACAGACCCCTACCATAAAACATATTCATGTAAAAAACATTATCATGCTTCTACATTTCTAGCTTTAGCTTAAAATTTCGAACTTATTTTTTCACAAGTTTCCTATGATATGCTGATGAATAGTAAAAATATCCCGCCCAATATATTTATTGCAGACAATACAAACGAAGGAGACCATCAAGACTGCAAGTTGAAACAGTACAGCGAATGTTCAAAACCACCAGCAAACGAATGTGTTCAACAGACCACTCACTGTGGTCGACAAAGCGCTGGTCAAGAAATAATTAGCCCACCTAAAAAGACTTACAAGGTAAGAACTATGTGAAAACAACTGAAAAAAAACCTTCTAGAAGCTAGGATTTTCTTAGAAATGTATTATTTAACTACCTATATAATATAAACTGAATTAATTATTTTAATTTTCCAGCATGTTCCCCTGGGTCCACGTAAGAGTATTAGTTGCTGCGAGGTAAGCGAGGGAAGAACGTGTTTTAACGATTCGTCGTCCGATGATTTTCCAGCTATGAAAGGTTCAAAAGATATAATCGACAATTACAAGCGTCAATTAGAAAAAACCATATCGTATCAACAGGCGTCGCTGGAATTCAAACGCTCAGCGAGTGCAGCAGAAGAATGCTTGGACGGAGTGAAATCCCTATTGAGAATACCGGCGAGAACAAGCAAAAATGATGCCGACTTTCGCGAAGAGAGTTTAAAATTTAGTAAAAACGTGTAATAAGGATAATAAAGGAAACAAAATTATTATAAACGTATCAAACGGTAACCGATGTGTATTCTGTCACGCAATAATTGGAAATCAATCGTAATGGATACCTACATTGCAGCATACGATTTTTTATAGGTCGAAAAATTAAGAAATAAAATATTTAAAATGAAACCTTACACCGAAAAAAAAATAACAATTATTAAAAATAAACAAGAATAATAAGTTCTTTTTTACAGGCGAAATGTTTTTAAATATTTTATTTCTTAACTACCTTAATGTATATTTATTTAAAGAATTTACGACCGCAAGGGCTACAGACTACACATAATAATTAAGATAATAGTTCACAATAATAATAATACTAATAATAATTACCTAACGATGATAAAATAATTTAAAAAGAAATAAAAAATTTTAGGGCAAATTATTTGATACATTTTTTTTTAATTGGTTTAAGACTTTGAGACGGACTGGATTGTTAAGCTCCCAACAATTGCGCTTTAAAAAACCGAAGACCCGAAAGGCTTTGTTACACATTTGAGTGATATGGGACGATAGTTCACTAGATAAAATAATACCTTAGTCTTTCACATGATTAAGTTTAGCTAAATTAAAACCATCTATTTCATAAGAAAAGGAGTCAGAAGATTTACTACGAGAGAACGAAATTCGAGAGCACTTTGAGGCCATTTACGCTGAGGCCATTTAATTATACACCAATTATAAAAGCTATTAAGATCTTCTCGAAGCTTATAATCATTTCAGTTGACTTTGGTACAATATGTCTTTAATTGAAGTCCAAATAAATCAACATCTTCATCTTGTAGTATATATCAATGAATAGTTCTATAATAGCTGAATACTTGACAGCAGCCTTTAAGCTATCAGTAGCACCACAGCTACTGTTCTCAGCTCCGCATCGAAGCTAAAAGAAAAAAATGTCCACCATGTAACTTGTCGAGTCTAAACACCAATTTTTCGTTTTAATTTTTATCCTTATAAATCCAAACCAAGTTGTTCACGGTAATGTTTCCTTCGAACACGGTACTTTTTTACATCGGTCGACATTCATTATGTGCACTATGAACTTCATCCAAGAACGTATCTTAGGCGGTGAGAATGAAATTCATTTCCAAAGTAATAACTATGTATTTTGATGTTATGCGTCGTTTTATATGACACTTATTTAATAACGTGTGAATGATGAATCACATTTGAAGACCTTTAGGGAAAAAATGATTTTATTTTAGAGAGTCCTATTTTTGAATAAGGACCCGTGTGCTTTAAGCGGCGCGGCCGGCTAGGCTCATTAGTGCGACCAACAAACAAGAATAGATATCCTTTCATTTATTTTTTTTTTTTCTTCAAGAATGATTCGACTAATTTATTTTTAATTTGATACCTAATTTATAATGCGGTATGTTTTTAGTAGAAAATAAAAAATATATGTACCTACCATCGTTCGAGTAATTAGCAGTTAATTAGTACAAAATTAGGATAATAATAGGCTTTTCATAATTATTGGTGGACGGTACGATTTCGTTTATAAATTCGTCTGGTATTAAGTGAGAAGAATTTTTGAGTTTTTAAAGTATGTAGTTTGTTTAATAATTTAACGAGAAAAATTAAAAACTTCCTGTGTCAGATTTTCGTAATAATACTAATCGAAATGACTGCGCAATTTGTAAAATTTCTGTTTTATCATTGGAAAAAATATATATACCTATACATTAAAGCATTTTCTATTTATTTGAAAAATCTCTTCGAAATCAAACTTTATGCGAGCTCCTTTTTTATCTGACACTTTTTGTGTAGGATTTGATATTATGCATACCATGACCTCCAGAAGTAGTCAATCACGACAGTAGCAATAGTTGTGATATTATCATAAAAATGTCATAGACATTCTGATTGATCGATAAACTCAAAAATAACACTTATCAAAGTATTTAGGGGGACTGGCAGCATGATTAACATGGGTCAATTATTATTGTAACAGGCTAAATATTCAATGGGGGAAATGTGGCCACTTAAGCAAGAATTTCGTTATTTCTTGAAATCGAACAATAAACTTGTTAGGTATTATGTATATATGTAAGTTTCAAATTTTTAAAAAAAAGTTAAAAATATATTTTTTTTAAAAATTGCAAATGCCATTACCTCATAATTTTGGTCGGTATACCCCTATCAGTCAGACTTTTAATACATGTATTTACTTAAAAGCTATAATATTTAAGTACCTAGATTATGAGCATATAACTTAAATCATTGTATGTTTTCGATATAATTGAAACATTCTTGTTAGAAAAAAAAATTAAAATTCTTACCTCGAGCTGATTTTAAATTTGGAAAAGTTTTACATCAACTGTGATAAAAAATCGATAGGTAATTTTTTTTGGGGGGAAAAAGCTGTTTACCGTTTTGAAGCATCTGGTATTTAGTTTTGGTAACAACAGTGACCAAGTTTTGTGCTTATCTAAACTTTTGCTATCATATTTAAAGAGATATGCCATTGACTGGAATTACCCACTGGCTGATATTCCCCCATCTTCCCCTACATGCCAATAGAGATAATTGAAGTCAGAAGCTTATCACATGTTTGTTGTTTATAAAAAATGTTCAAATTTTCTCAAAAACTGTTTTTTTATTAAGTAAAATTGTATTGCATTAAAAAAAGTAACTTTATATAGACACAACTGTAACAAACACATTGTGGTCGATTGTAACATTATCTATTAAGACGGATTATATCGCTATTTGTATTAAACGTATTAATTTGTATTTCTTTGTTTTCTTAAACATTATTATAGTTATATTTTTTAAGCAATTATTCTGTCTTAATTTAATAGGTCTTGTGTTCCTTTATCTAATGGTAGTATTGAAAATCGAATGAACTAGACAAAATTTCTTACAAACAGAACTTAGTGAAAAATGTCACCTTTGCCCCTACATCGTCCCCCTGCATTACAATATTGTCATACTGTTATTGTTACATCCGGTACAGTATTATTGTCTGTGCAGTAATATTTTCCCTTTTTTAATTTATGAATCTATACGGTTAGGTACTCGAGTACATATTACACTACGACAATACAGAAGGAATGTAATAAAAAAAAAAAATACTGCTACCTAACAATATAAGTATTTCCAGGTAATGGCGGCTATATAATGGCTTCGAATACCCACAAGAAAGAAGAGCACAACAGAGTTCAACTATAATACTTATCTGACTAGCAACGGTCAATTTTGCAATACATAAAAAGTAGAAATATTTTACCTTCGATGGGGAGCTAAGAAGGTATTGTTGAAAAAAAAACAAACAAATTCACATATTTTTGTTGAATATTTTACTATAATTAAATTTATAATAAGTGCAGTACAAATATTTAAACAGAAAATGAGTGTTTTATAAATGAAACATCAATTTTATAATTAATAAGAATTTCCTACTATATACGATTCGGTCATCAACATGAATAAAATTAAGAACATTATTTTATTGGTTAAATCAGCTGTCTTATCTTAAACACAATTTTGATTTGAACTATATACAGATTATATTTTAAAGCAATACAAATAATTTGATTATGATAAAAAATTAAAACTATACTCATAGCGAATAAAAATAAAACGTGCTCTTATACGAAAAAAATGCAAAATAAACTTTTTCCCAGTGCAATATCTGTTCAAGATTTCCTAAAAATAATATTATACAATTTCTGATTAATAATTATAAATTTTCCAATTAATGATTCTTTATAGTCTATTTCGAGTATATTGTTTACAGCTTAGTATTCTTTTTATCGACTAAAATTACCATACAAATCAAATAGCACTGAGCGGATGAAATAACACCTTTCTTGTCGATAAAATTATATTTATTTTACTTGATAGTTTTTTACCATCTAAGATGGTCCATCTTCAGTTTTTGCATCGAAGCGTTAATTTTAATGTGATTATCATTTTCAGTTATAATAAAACTTATATAAAGACCTGCGACTTTCGAGATTCTTGAACTTGGCAAAAAATGCATATTTTTTTTAACACTGTGGAATAACATAAAATATTGTCTCTAAAATTGTAATTGTTTCCCAAGGAAAATCAGTGTCTGCCGGGTAAATGGATCATCCTGTATTTCCTATTATATTGTAGGTAACCACTCAGAGGAACAAGGTCATTTGCATTTAGTCTCGGCCGAAGCGTCCCACGTTGTGTAATAATATAATAACTATAATTTAGACACCATCGAATCAGTTAATACATATATACAATAGAATAGTAGGTATAGCTAATATAGCTGTACTGCTTGCAAACTGATGGGGCAAACTATGAGAGAGAATCAATGAACCTACCTTTTATGATGTACTATATTTTTATTCCACAAACGTTGGCAAATCTCCCGAATTTGTTCGTTAAAAATCTTCAACTAAACCTGTGTGTAAAAATTGTTCTGGATACTGCCACGATAAATGTCATTATTATTAATTGTTTTACAATACGAATAACTTGTTTGGTATTCACAGGAATCACTGAATGGTAGATACCAACTATTATTTTTGGTTTTGGTGAATTGTATATACTTCTTGTAATTAAATAAATTAAATTCGAACATTTTTCAATGACAACAATACATTTTTCAACACAACAAATGCACAAAAATCGAAAATCTGATTTTTACCTGATCTAGTAAAGTAGGCAAAGAACTGGTATCTCTTTACAGAATTCAATTTGGACCACTCTAAGTAATCGACATTTTGACAGGATTTTTGGTTAAAAAAAAACAGACAGCTTTACTTAACTGAGAAGATAATGGGTTTATTTATTTTTAATCGTTAGTATTTTTTTTTTTTTTAAGTATGTACAAGTTATTGATGCACGTAGGTATGCATATTTAATTTATGGATACCACCTTTGGACTTTCCCTGTCAGCTCCCACTCTTTTCCCCTTTCGCTTCCGCCGAAGCCAAGGTACCTGCGTACGGGCAATGTGTGTAGGATCTTATACAGGC